CTGATCAGATGTCTGGATCGAGCGCAAGTGCAACGGATTCAGAAGCAGGGCGGCTTCTGGCCGCGGAGGCAGAGCAGATCCCACCAGATGTCCAAGAGAGACAACTACCAGACTTTTAGAAGACACCTGAAGGCAGCCCTCTTTAGGGAAGCTTTTAATGTTTGATGCATTATTGCATTTTAATATTTTGTTGGAAGCCGCCCAGAGTGGCTGGGGAAGCCCAGCCAGATGGGCGGGGTATAAATAAATTATTATTATTATTATTATTATTATTATTATTTAAACAAGAATTCTGTGGCTCTTGATGTCCACAAGCCATAATAATAATAATAATAATAATAATAATAATAATTTTTATTTATACCCCGCCCTCCCCAGCCAAGGCCGGGCTCAGAGCGGCTTACAAGCAATAATAAAAACAAGATGAATGATTGCAACTTAAAAACAAAAATAAAATACAACATTAAAATAATGGAACATTAAAATATTAAAATGTAGCCTCATCGCAGGAGGAGAAGGAAAGGAAAAAAGAAAGAGAGGGACAGAATCAAATTGGCTCCAAGCCAAAGGCCAGGTGGAACAACTCTGTCTTACAGGCCCTGCGGAAAGAAATCAGATCCTGCATAGCCTTGGTCTCATGAGGCAGAGAGTTCCACCAGATAAGCCCGTCCAGAGGTTCAGAAAGTTGGTGTGAGTTCTAATCTGTCTTTAGTCTGTCCTTATTCGAACGTTTCTAAAGTTTTAGGTGGTTGCTAGTTTTTCTTTTATTGCTTTATCTTTTTCCGTAAACAGTTCTGAGGGGGATTTTTACAATTGTAAAATTTATATACTGCTTGGTGGTGGTGGTGGTTTAAAAAAAACCAAAAACCTCAAAACTGTTTACAAAAAAATATTACAGCGGGCAAGATTCAAGATACAGGCAGTGGAAGGAAAATGACAAAATAATTGTAACGGGATTTTTTTTTTTTGTAATAGATAAAGATATAATGCAGTAGAAAAGGTTTGTGGAAGTGAGAGTGGGAAGTCAGCTTGCGAAATAATGTAATTGATTTGAAGGTTATTGTGAAAACATTTGAAAAAAATTAATAAAAAATTATACGACAAAAAAACTGCTCACAAAAATGAAGGCTTTTTGATTGCAGTTAAGTTATGTAGGCTGAGGAGGACATTAAAGCAGGATCCAGTTGCCACTGCAGCCGCATGTTGCAGCATGTGCAGCACTTCAGGTCATAGCTCAGTCGGCTAGCGGCATCCTCCTCCACTTGCACTGCCCTCCTGCCGACTTTTCTGTCCGTGTTCCCCAGCAGTGAACCCTTCTGAGTTTCCTTCTCTCTCCAGAGGGTTGGAGATGGAGAGGAGATAGGAGAGCCATCTTCCGATATCTTAAGGGCTGTCACATGGAAGAGGGAGCAAGCTTGTTTTCTCCTGCTCTGGAGGGTAGGACTCGAACCCATGGCTTCCAGTTACAAGAAAGGAGATTCCGACTACGCACCAGGAAGAACTGTCCCGCAGTGGAGCAGTCTCCCTTGGAAGGTCGTGGCCTCGCCTTCCTTGGAGGTTTTTAAGCAGAGGTCTAAACAGGCCATCTGTCCAGGCGCTTTAGCTGAGATTCCTGCATTGCAGGGGGTTGGTCTAGATGACCCTTGGGGTCCCTTCCAACTCCACAATGCTATGATTCTACAAAACAGGAACCTCAGAAAAGCCAGCTGAATCAGGCCAGTGGCCTGTTTAGTCCATCAACCTGTTCTCACCAGCCGGATGCCTCAGGGGGAAACTGCAGTTTCTGGCCACTGGTATTCAGAAGCGCCGCTGCCTCCATGCCAGCCAATAGCTTTCTCCTCTGTGTCCGATACTCTTTTAAATCCATCCAGGTTGGGACCATCAAAGCCTCCTGCATGTGCTGCGTGAATAAGTCCTTTTCCAATAAGTCCTTTTCGTGGGCACAGGATGCCTGTGGCCACGCATCGTTTGATGAACTTCTGCCGCTGCACCCCCTCTTTCTCACCTTTTCTCTAAACCAAAAGTTCCCAAACACTGCAACCTTTCCTCACAGGCAAGTCGCTCCATCCCCTCAATAGTCCTGCTTGCCTTTTTGTTCCCCACCTTTTTAAAAAAACAGTTTTCATTGAAGATTGTCTTGTGTTACAAAATAAACAAGGAAATGTACATATAGCATCTCCACTTTTGATTCATAGTATCCTGGAATTGTGGAGTTGGCAGGGACCCTGAGGGTCATCCAGTCCAACCCCCTGCAATGCAGGAATAGGCAGCTGTCCCGTCACACGGGGATCGAACTGGCAACCTTGGTGTTGTCAGCACCAGTCTCTAGCCAACTGAGCTCTCCAGAGTCTTTTTCACAGTTTTTTAATGTTCAGAATAATAATCATAATCATAATAGTAATAGTAATAATAATAATAAATTTTATTCATACCCCACCCTCCCTGGCTAGAGCCGGGCTCAGGATGGCTAACACCAGTAAAATTACAGTAAAAACATAATGGGGGGGAACCAATTTAAAATACAGGTTAAAATATCATTTAAAATGCAGCCTCATTTTAAAAGTAGCTCGTAGATCAAAACCGTAAGGGGAGGGAAACATAAGGGTCAGACTGAGTCCAGACCAAAGGCCAGGCGGAACAGCTCTGTCTTGCAGGCCCAGCGGAAAGATGTCAAGTCCCGCAGGGCCCTAGTCTCTTGGGACAGAGCGTTCCACCAAGTCGGGGCCAGTACTGAAAAGGCCCTGGCCCTAGTTGAGACCTAGTTGAGACATTAATGTAATGGACATCGTACAGTTGGGGGGAAAGAAAGGGGGGAAGGGAGTATTGTTCTTTCATTCTACTGCATAGAGTTAGGGTGGGGATTTGTGTCTGCATCACATGGGTCGGCCCTTTATTTCTATATTTATTTGTCTTCATTGGCCTTGCGAGGGATTGGACGCTCCAGAGTTTGGTGGGTTGTGTTCAGTTAGTTGCCGTGTGGCTTGTTTGCCTGTGGGTGGGAGGGTCGGGTTAGCCATATTGAGTTGTGTGCTGTTTTGCCCTGTTGTGGCGTATATATGAAAAAGGAGAGCCACACCGGGGCAAAGGCTTCCTCCTTTGCTTGTCCTTGTGCCAGTTTAAGTTTGTTGGCTAACTTCTCTAGCAGGGCAGTTTCCCGTACATTTTGGTACCACTGGTTCACTCCTGATAGGTCCTTCCAGTGTCCAGTTGCCATGCTTCTAGAATCATAGAATCATAGAATCCTAGAGTTGGAAGAGACCCCAAGGGCCATCGAGTCCAACCCCCTGCCAAGCAGGAAACACCATCAGAGCACTCCTGACATATGGTTGTCAAGCCTCTGCTTAAAGACCTCCAAAGAAGGAGACTCCACCACACTCCTTGGCAGCAAATTCCACTGTCGAACAGCTCTTACTGTCAGGAAGTTCTTCCTAATGTTTAGGTGGAATCTTCTTTCTTGTAGTTTGGATCCATTGCTCCGTGTCCGCTTCTCTGGAGCAGCAGAAAACAACCTTTCTCCCTCCTCTATGTGACATCCTTTTATATATATAGCTGCTGAGAGTAAGTGAGTTATGAGTTCCTTGTCATGTAATTGTTGTTGTTGTTGTTGTTGTTGTTTATACCACACCCATCTGGCTGGGTTTCCCGAGTCACTCTGGGCGGCTCCGAAAGAACACGAAAAAAAAAAGAATAAAATTTCAAACATTAAGAACTTCCCTAAATGGTGTGTGCGCATTGTTGCCCTGGAAGATATTTAATAGGGTTCATCCCTATTTTCACTGGAGAAAGGTTGGAGGGCGTGCTAGTTCAGGGCATGCTTCTATTACCTGCTTTGGTATTTTGGAGATTTTCTGCAGTAACAACAAGGCTTTTGCAGCCTTGGGATGGCCGTCCTCGTTTGCTTTTACTTCTTCTGCTTCTAAATTTTCAGGCCAGGAGGTAGCGCTTGCCAAAGCCCAGACACGCACTGAGCATGTGTGCATGTGCGGGGGGGGGTGGAGCAGAGGAGCTGGCGTAGAGTCCATAAATATTATATTGTAACTTCTCTGCATTTTAAGAACTCGTCTCGGTTAATGGCCGGGTTAGACAAAGACTGCATTGAACTGTCAACTCGCGGCTAGACACCCCAGCTGTTGTGAATGGGCACGCGGACTGTGGGGCGGGGGGAGATGGGGCACGATAAAAAGGACCCCAGCGTTCAAGGTCAGAGGTAACGCCACCCTCCCCTCCCCTCCCCACCGCCAGGCATGAATTATTCAAACTGTCCTCTCCAGGGCTGTAAAATGAATAAAGTTAACTTAATAGTTGTGTGCGTGCTTTGGGGGGAAAGGGATGCAAGTTGACCCGTATCAGAAAAAGAAAAAATGCTGGATTGCCATTAGCAGCAATATTCGTTTATTTTAGTAATGTAAACTGCCTTTTCCAACCGGTGTGCAAGAAGAACATGAGAGCATAAGGATCAGGCCTAGGACTCATCCTGTTCCCATAGTGGCTATGAACCCAGGGCTCCAGATAGACTGCCTCTGGACCTGGGGGTTCCATAGGAACCTAAGAAGGGCCTTGTTACTGGATCATGCCCAGGACCCGTCAAATCCAGCATCCTGGTCTCACAGCGGCCCTCCAGATGCCCCAAAGGGAGACCCAACAGGATTTGAACACAAGAGCAGCCCTTTCCTCCTCCACGAATTTATCCAATCCTCTTTTAAAGCCATCCAAGTTGGTGCCATCCCTGCAGGGAGTTCCACAATTCAATAATGTGCTGCGTGATGTGACGTGTTGATTCTTCCAATGTACAACTTCAAATACAGCCGGCCCCCATGGTTCCCTGATTTTGGGGGGTCCCTGCCCCCTCAGTTCCATAAGCTCATCCCCAGTGCCCTATAAAAAGCAAAATTCAGAACAGCTGCTTGCATGAACCACTAAGGAAGTTAATCACTCAATAAGTTTTGAAGAGAACAATTCATTGCACATTTGCTCAGAATCCAGTTGAAACTGTTTTAATTGGCTGGCTCAGGTGGTAGAGCATGACACTCTTGATCTCAGGGTTGTGGGTTCGAACTCCATGTTGGGCCAAAGATTCCTGCATTGCAGGGGGTTGGGCTAGATGACCCTTGGGGTCCCTCCAGCTCTATGATTAATTCACCCAGACTTGATCCAGAGAGCCCAGCTTCTCAAAGTCTGAAAATCATTTGCACTTCTGGTGCCCCCTCCCATTGCCCCATTGCCCCATTGCCTCTTCCCGTCTCCCTTAGAGATCCAGAGACACTCGCCATCCCTCTCTGACACGCATCTCTTAGAAAAGCATAAACAAAACACAGGAAACTGTCTTATAATTTCTTGGTGCAATGTGGAGCCGTTCATTAAGGTACCCTTCCAGCCATCCTGGTGAGTCTCTGAGTGAGTGTGCAGCAACTCCTGCAGGAAATCTAAAACCTGGAGCCGTTGCTCCACCCACTTTTGTCCTGGCCCCGCCCACCTGCAGCCCTTGGAAGACAACCCAGAAGGAGAAGCAGTCTGGGGAAAGGGTTAGAATCATAGAATTGTAGAGTTGGGAAGAACCTGGGAGCCATCTAGGTGCAATGTACACATATCTTTAAAAAACACTGTGAAAATGCTTTTAAAGAAAATAGATATTGAAAAATATATTGAAATTGCCATAGCTCACTGTTACCATCTAGTGTCACATTTGTATGTTTCACTTAAAAATTATTTGCAACTGCATAGCTGAGTCCCTAGACTAGCCCCCTGCAATGCAGGAATGTCAGCTAAAGCATCCATGAGAGATGGTCGTCCAACCTCTGCTTAGAAAACTTTCAAGGAAGCAGAGGCCACCACCTGTTCCACTGTCGAACAGCTCTTAATATCAGAAAGTTCTTCCTGGTGTTTAGTCGGAATCTCCTTTCTTTTAACTAGAAGCCATGGGTTCGAGTCCTACCCTCCAGAGCAGGAGAAAACAAGCCTCCTCCCTCTTCCATGGGACAGCCACCCCCCTGAATAAATACTTTTTACATACCCTCCATTCCAACATTTATCTGTTGAAAATAGGCCGTAGGTTTGCCCTTCGCCCAGAATTTCCTGGACATAGCCGGGATTCGGCCGTCAGAAACAGTGTCCAGGCAGAAATTTCTGAAGTGTCCAGGAGAATCCGGATATATGTCAACCCGTGTCGGAAGTGTAGATTTTGGCAAATGTCCTTAAAAATAACTCTTTTTGAAAAATGGCAACCCTAAAATAGGGAGGTCCTTTTCCATAACAACAACAACCACAACAATGTTAATATTTATACCCTCCCCATCTGACTGGGTTACCCCAGGCACTCTGTGTGGCTTCCAGCATATATAAAAACATAATAAAGCATTTTTTAAAACTTCCCTGTCCAGGGCTGCCTTCAGATGTCTTCTAAAGGTTGTCTAGTTTCTTATCTCCTTGGCTCGGGGGTCGCATAACTCCAGACCCTCCAACATTTCTCTGACGAAAATAGGGACGTCCTAAGGAAAAGTGGGACATTCTGGGATCAAATCAGAAACTGGGATGGCTTCTGTAAATCCTGGACTGTCCCTGGAAAATGGGGGACTTGGAGGGCCTGTTTTAACAGGGTAGGGGGCACAGAGCATGTGCTTATGGAGCCAAGGGGGCAGTGGGCCGAAAAAGTTTGGGAGCCTCTAATGGAGCGCCAGCCCTTGCTATCTGTCTCCTGCAGGATATCCCCCCTTGGCTACGGTTATTGCGTCTGTCTGCCCCACTCCCCCAGGCGACGAAGAGCCCCTTGGGGGCAGCGGCCTGTCGAGACGGCAGACATCTCTCTTCCTCCCTGGCATAAATGGGCTGTGTGTCGGGGGAGATGCGCAGGCCCCACACGCCCTGAATCCTTGCCACCCGGGTTCTGTGTCCTTGGGATGCACGTCGAAGGGGGGGAGGCGGGAGAGAGCTAATTGACATCAGCGCCTGGGAGCAGATGGGGTGCCCACCTGCTGGAGAAATGCAAATGATGTCTGGAGCAAGGCGGTCGCCTTCGGGACGGGGTCAAGCGAGGGAGGGGGAGGAGCAAGGAGGAAGATCCACTGGCAAACAGAAGGAAAGCCGGATCAGGCCATGTCTCAGGGAGAAGAGAGCCTGTGTCTGTGAGTCTGCCAGGAGCAGAGAGGAGGGAATTCTCTGCATATAGTTCTGCTTCTTTTGAAGCAGGGGGTTGGACTAGATGGCCATCAGGGTCCCTTCCAACTCTGATTCACCTTGAACGTAAACAAGTAGTGATGTAATAGAAAAAGGTAAAGGTAAAGGGACCCCTGACCATTAGGTCCAGTCGTGAACGACTCTGGGGTTGTGGCGCTCATCTTGCTTTACTGGCCGAGGGAGCTGACATTTGTCTGCAGAGTTTTTCCAGGTCATGTGGTCAGCATGACTAAGCCGCTTCTGGCGAACCAGAGCAGCGCACAGAAACGCTGTTTACCTTCCCGCCGGAGCAGTACCTATTTATCTACTTGCACTTTGATGTGCTTTTGAACTGCTAGGTGGGCAGGAGCAGGGACCGAGCAATGGGAGCTCACCTTGTTGCGGGGATTCGAACCGCCAACCTTCTGATCAGCAAGTCCTACGCTCTGTGGTTTAACCCACAGTGCCACCTGCGTCTGAAAGCGGCAAAAGTTGGGTGTCACCGCCTCTCTCTGCAAGACTCCAGGGGGTTCCAGGCATTCATCCAGAGTCTGTGGTCCTTTGGGGAACTGAGACACGGCAGAGACCATCATAGCTTTAAAAAAGAAGGTTTATTCCCCTATTTACACCTTCAGTCTGCTTGGAGGGAGCCCCGATCTGACAGCATGGTCATTTCAAGAGGGGCTTGTGCAGCCCTGGACTCCAAGGCGTCTCTCCCAGCCAGCCTGCAGCCAGCCTGCCCAAGATGGATCCCATCCTTCTCTCCCTTTCTTCTTCCCAGCACACCTTGCTTGAAACCCCTCTCTTTTCCTGTCACTTCACACCCAGTTACCCTGCAGCCTTCCAAACCCCCAGTCTCTGTGCACATCTCAGGGCAAGGAGGGAGGACAGTTATCCTCAATGGCCCTCTATTGTTCTTAAGTAGCCCTAGCTTGGCCAGGTCCTTTTGCGTGGGCTAGTCCAGGAATTCCTCTGCAGCTTGTATTTCTCCCTCCACATCCCAAATAATCAAGATCTGGACTCCCTCCATGTAGACTGAAGGAGCAAATAGGCAAATAAACCATATTTTGTAAAGCTACAACAGTCTCTGCCGTGTCTCAATTCTGCAAAGGGACACAGACCCTGGGTGAGTGTCTGGAACCCCCTGGGCTCTGTAGAGAGAGGGGCAGGCACCCAACTTTTGTAGCAATATTCGGGTTACAATATTGTACACAGGTAAATAATAAAACACGACAGGACTAACAGAAAATGGGTCACTAAGGGTGTAAAAGACTATGTTTTTATTATGTTTCTATATGTGCTTGAAGCCGCCCAGAGTGGTTGGGGAACATTATTATTAAGCATATTATTTTACAGTACATAATAATAAGATAACAGTAAACCAGGATAAGGAGTTCTTCAATAAATTGACGTATAAAACAGAGTAATCGGCTTGAGCTAATGAGCAGCATCTTCTTATCTATTGCAATATATGTTGCACGTATTGCTCATTCTTGTCTTGCTCCATTTGTGCTTTTAATAAAACCGCCCCATGCAGTGCAAAAAGTGCCTTGCTGCTCCTCTCCCTTTGCCACCTCCCAATTTTTGTGACAGCTTTTTCATTATGGCTGTTTGCCAGATGATATTATACCAGTGATCAATATTAATTGCAAGGTTTTCTGAGTTCTGGCTACTACCGTTCTATCCGCTGTTAATAAACGTGTTGTTAATTTATTACTTCTGAAGTGTATAAATTTGGTAAATGCTGGGGGTATATAATTCAATGTAGGGCATGTGGATAATGTCTTTCTCTTGTTTTGTCACTAGGTGGCGCTGTTCTGAGTCGGTTGTTTCCTGCTGGTGCTTAAGAGAGACAATAGTTCTCCTTCCTGGGTTGCCGCGTGTCCTCTGAGCCTTCCCTGCTAATAGGTGAGGGGGCTTGGAATCCACAATCGCATTTAGAGCACAATGATACCACTTTGGACAGTCGTGTCTTCCCCACCATCTCCCCCCCCCAAAAAAATATGATAGGAGATGTAGAATCAAAGATTCATAGAGCTGGTGAGTTGGAAGGGATCCAAAAGGATATCCAGTCCAACCCCTGGAGTTTGTTAAGGATGCTGAGTGTTGCTAAGGGACCCTTATGTTCCCAGAGCTACAATTTCCAGAACAGTTTAACAATCTATGCCTCTTCATGGGACCTCTGGGAACTGTAGCTTATGGGGCAGGAAATCAACCTTAACTACAGTTCCCAGAATTCTTCCTTGTTGCTCCAGACTAGAAGTGAGGGTTGGAGACCCCCGAGATTTTTCTGCCACTGGCACCCAAATGTCCCCGTCTCTCCCTCTGTCCTCTCCCTCCCCTCCCGCGCTCACCCCAACCCCTTGCGTGAGCCTTTTGGCGAAGGCAAACCCACCCACCCAAATATTCTGCCAGCCAAGCAGTTTCTGTGCACTCAAGAAACGCTCCTTTTAGCCTTATTGACCTCCCGGGCACCTGCGACGGGCGAAAAGCACATTTCTTAAGTGACAATTTCCCATCACTAAATTAAGAGGGAGAGTCGTTTTCCGTCACCCGCCCAAAGGTTCTGAGCTAGGCATAAAATGTGTCATTAGCAAACGTGGGCAGGGGGGGCAACACTCTCAATTGGGGGTCAGGTGGGGAGATGAGATCTGCGCTTTTGCACCTGAAGCTGCGGGTCGATGCTATTTGCTCAGAAACTCTTGCACTGACGCAAGGTGGGGGGAATGATATTTTAAAGCTGGCCTTCAAGTACTTCCTGACCCCCTCCCCAGAAAAAAACCCTAATCGCCCCCCCGAATTAAAATTGAAGACATATCAGTGTCGCTGAATGTCTCTGATGATGCCAAGATATATTGTCAAAAGAACCGTCCTGATTTTGGCAGTTCGAGTAGTGATTGCAACTCGGCGGAAAACAGCCC